ATTTAGGCCTTTTCACATTACATAGTTATAGTGCTATGTTTCACTTCAATGGCAATATCCTATGAAATCTTGGGATTTGCGGTTTAGGGTAGGTTATATAAAATTTTCATTCACAGAGTGCTATTGACTCATAAAAAATATACACCAGGTTTCCATAGGATGTAACTATGGTAATTAGGTTGGAATTATTGTGCTATAATTGCATAAACAGTTTGAGCCCAGACTATCTAACAAACTGCCTAGACCAGGGGTCCTCAAACTAAGACCCGGGGGCCGGATATGGCCCTCCAAGGTCATTTACCTGGCCCTCGCTCAGGGTCAACCTAAATCTGAAGCGACTTGAAAGCACACAATAACAACAACAATAATCCTATTTCATCAGCCAAAAGCAAGCCCACACTTCCCATTGAAATACTAATAAGTTTATATATGTTAACATTGTTCTTCATTTTAATTATTGTATTGTTTTTGCACTATAAATATGAAATGTGCAGTGTGTATAGGAATTCATTCATGGTTTGGGATTTTTTTTTTCAAATTATAATCCGGCCCTCCAACAGTTTGAGGGACTGTGACCTGGCCCTCTGTTAAAAAAGTTTGAGGACCCCTGGCCTACACTATCTAACAAACCGCATCTCCATATACAAGCCTGTCTATGCCCTTTGATCGGCTGAGGAGGCTCTGCTCTCGGTCCCCCACCCACACCCACCCGGTCCCAAGCATGGCTGGTGAGAACAAGAGAAGGGGTCTTCTTGGTGGATGCCCCCGCCTGTGGAATGCCCTCCCCAAGGAGATCAAAATGGCCCCATCTTTACTCTGTTTTAAGAAACAACTTAAGGATATAATGAGGAGGAGGGTTACATCCCAGAGTACGGATTAACCAGAAAGGAAATGGAACTGATATAACACTCTGCCTCGGCTGGCTTTCAATGGTTATTATTTAATATAATTGCTTATTTTAATTTAGTGTAAAATGTATAGTATTGTTCTTTGTTTCAATTTGTATGGTTTTTGTTTTATATAGGCATAGAATGTTTGCCTGTTGTGTTGAAAATGATCCTAAGTTCCCACAAGGAGATAGGATGAGATATAAATAAAGTTTTATTAAGTGCAGAGCTTTTCAAACATTTCATGTGGTGACACACTTTTTAGACATGCATCAATTCGTAAAACAGTAATTTTACTAATAAAGCAGATATTAAACCAACCCCCTGTAAGACATACGGACACATACATAAATTGTAATAACAAAATGTATGGGGACAAAACAAATATCTTGAAAACCTTTCATTGATATTTTTCAAAATACATTATTTGTAAGAAAATGACATACATTTCCAAAATTTTGTCATCTTTCATTCCGTTTGCATGACATACCTATACACTGCAGCTGACACATAAATGTGTTGTGACTAGAAATGGGAAGGCCTGCAAAAAACCTGGAAAAATTAGGGGAAAACGGGGGTGGGGGGAATGGAGGATGACAATGAAAAATTGGAGAAAATAGGGAAAAAATGTCCCCCCTCCCATTTTTCCGTTTTTGAGTTCGGAGTAGAGCAACTGCTTTGGGAGACAGTGGTTGGGCATCCGGACAACGTGGCTGGTCCAGCGGAGTTGATGGCGGAGGACCATCGCTTCAGTGCTGGTGGTCTTTGCTTCTTCCAGCACGCTGACATTTGTCCACCTGTCTTCCCAAGAGATTTGCAGGATTTTCCGGATGCAGCGCTGATGGAATCATTCTAGGAGTTGCATGTGACGTTTGTAGATAGTCCACGTCTCGCAGGCATATAGTAGGGTTGGGAGGACAATAGCTTTATAAACAAGCACCTTGGTATTCCTATGGATGTTTCGGTCCTCAAACACTCTCTGCTTCAAACCCACATTACTCTGCTTTACATGTGACGCTTGCACATATCATGAGGGAGGGGACTTGACAAAAGGAGAACACAATTGGAATTACTGGCATCCACCCCTACGTCCCACCTCGAGACCTAAGATCATCTGGGGAGGCCCTGCTCTCGCTCCCGTCAACAGCACAAATGCGCCTGGCGGGGACGAGAGACAGGGCCTTCTCGGCGGTAGCTCCCCGTCTTTGGAACACACTCCCAACTGAGGTAAGATTGGCCATCTCCCTCCTGGCTTTTCGAAAGAAATTAAAGGCATGGTTTTGGGACCAGGCTTTTGGACAATAGATGCAAGCAGCACTTTAAAAGGATAGGACTGGAATGGCTGATGAGAATGTTGGTGGACAGGATGCCCAACCACCGTCTCCCAAAGCAGTTGCTCTATTCCGAACACAAGAACAGAAAATGGAATGGTGGTGGGCAGGAAAAGAGATTTATAGATGGGCTCAAAGCCAACCTTAAAAACTCTGGCATAGACACTAAGAACTGGGAAGCCCTAGCCCTTGAGCACTCCAGCTGGAGGTCAGCTGTGACAAGCAGTGCTGTAGATTTTGAAGAGGCACGAATAGAAGGCGAAAGAGAGAAATGTTTCAAGAGGAAGGCACATCAAACCAACCCCTACCAGGACTGCCTTCCACCTGGAAACCAATGCCCTCCTTGCAGGAGAAGATGCAGATCAAGAATAGGGCTCCACAGTCACCTACGGATCCACCACCAGAACACCAATCTTGGAAGACAATCCTATTTGGACAATAAGGATTGCCTAAGTAAGTAAGGGTTTGTGGTAACAGTAATATTTTACTTGTGAACTTGAGTCTTACTTTGGGAGATAAAATAAAATAATAAATAGCAATAACAATAACTTTAGTCCATCTTTGAAGAGAAGGCTCTCTCCTTTGTGCCCACAAGATGAGCTTGTGAGATTGGCAGGGCTGAAAGGAGGGCCTCCCCCGAAGATCAAAGGGCCCGGTTTGGTTCATGGAGAGAGATACGGTCATGAAGGTAGGTGGGTCCCAAACCATTTAGGACTTTGTAGGTGATAACCTGTACCTTGAATTGGGACCGGAAAATAAACAGCAGCCAAGAAACCAATGCCCTCACTGCGGGAGAACATACAGGTCAAGAATAGGGCTCCGCAGTCACCTACGGGCCCGGTGTATACTGATCTTGGAAGACTATCCTACTCGGACAACGAGGGATCACCTAAGTAAGTGAATATTTAAAGAGTACGACTCATCTAAACTCATCCCACGGACTCCCATTTCTGAGGAAGGCTTCGAATGCTGGTTTGCTGGAGTTCCAATCCAATATTCAAACCATGATACCACATTAGTTGTATCTACCGGCTGCCGTAATGCTAGACACCCTCTTAGTTTTCACAAGTTCAAAATAAAAAACCATAAAAACCTCTAGCATCCCTTGAGAAACTAGCCCAAGTGTTTTATTCATCTTTTCTAGAACTGGCATTTTGAGTCATAAAGAAATGTGATGCCGTGGGGATTTTTTCCCCTTTCTAATTCCTTTTAACTATCAGATAGAGCATGAGATTGTCACAGCTGCCAGTGCGCTCTGAAGTGCATTAGTAAAGAAACGTGAGGGGTTGGTTTCACCCCATCCTCCGAACAACCTGGAGAGTTTCATGGTCCTTGAGTCATAGTACTACCAGTGATAACTATCTCATGGGTTTGACATTCTAGTTTTTGTGATTTATCTTGGAGGATTTTAACGAGAAAGGTTTTGTTGCCTTTACCGCACATTAAGAAATTTAGCAATATCAGCAGAAATCTATTGTTGTATGTCAGAACTGGGTGGGTTCTGATTATGCAACTTAAGTGAAGCAATTAGATTTGGGTGGAGAATTTAAGCATTTCATTATTTTTTTTAAAAAATAGCAGGTTTCTAATTCTTAAGAGAGATGAAGGTACATAAGGAATGGTAATGAAAGAATGAGATTATGAGTAATAGATTCCAAATGCTTTCATTTCATTTCTTTTATCCAACACTAGCTGTACCCATTACGCGTTGCTGTGGTCAACCTTCCCTCCCTCTTTCCCTCATCCTTTCTTTTTCTCCTTCCTTCCTTCCCTCTTTCCTTCCTTCCTTCCTTTTTTCTTTCATTCTCTCCTTCCGTCCTTCCTTCCTTCCTTCCTTCCTTCCTTCCTTCCTTCCTTCCTTCCTTGTCTTCCTCTTCCCTTCCTTCCCCTCTTTTCTTTCCCTTTCTCCCCTTTCTTCCTTCTCTACCTATTCTTGGACGATAACTCCCAGCAGTCCTCCTGATCAATCTATCTACCTACTACCTATCTCTATCTAATCTATCTTATCTATCTGGAGGATTGCTGGGAGTTGCAGTCCAGGAATAGGAAATTGGAAATATGCAGGGATTGGGAGGCTCTCAAAGAAATCCAAAGAGAAGAAAGCAATGCACTTGGATCATCCTCCTCTCCTAAAGGGCCTGGTCTAGGGGATCCTGGGAGCTGTAGTCCGGAAGAGAATGTGGATATGCTATTGTGTGTTTTGTTTGCCAGGGGCAGTCATTTTGTGCATGCGCTGTAGCATCTTTTTGCTTTTTTTGGCTTTTTAAGCCCCTTCCGCTGTGTTTTTCAGTATTTTTATGAACGATGGTCACTTGTTGACCTGATCAGTGTATTGTGTCCAAATTTCATGTCAATTCATCCAGTGGTTTTTGAGTTATGTTAATTCCACAAACGAACATAACATTTTTATTTATATAAGACTAACCGTCCCCTGCCATGCGTTGCTGTGGCCCAGTCTGTGTATATCTGTTTTGTGTGTATATTTGTGTATAAGTGTATGTGTGTTTGCATATATATGGGGGGGGAGGGAGTTTTGTGCATGTGTTGTAATGTATTTTTTGTTTTTTGGCTTTTAAGTCTCTTCCACTGTGTTTTTCAGTGTTTTATGAGTGATGGTCACTCGATGGCTTGATAGGTGTCTTGTGTCCAAATTTGGTGTCAATTCACCCAGTGGTTTTTGAGTTGTTAATCCCACAAATGAACATTATATTTTTATTTATATAGATGAATTACACTGTCTTGGAATTTCTCCTTGTGACTTCTCGAATGTTCTCTCCCATAGGTGAGAAACGCCCCAACTTTGAAGTGAATTATAGCTCTAATTTTGGGTATGAGAAAGAAAGAGATGTCATGCTACAAGGAGGCATGCTGGATCAAGCCATCAACAATGCTATTGGCTACCTTGGGGTAGATGCCCTGCGCCCAATTGTGCAGACGCCAGCAGCCCCAACCTCTGAGATGGTGCCTGTGATCAGCAGCCTGTATCCGCTGGCACTCACCCGCACTGAAGTGATCACCAGTAACTCACAAGAGGTAGAAAAGAGCCACATCATCCATCTGAGAGACAAGGCTAGTTCTTCTGACAGAGGCCTTTCTCCAAACAATAGTGGCCAGGACTCCACAGATTCGGATAGCAACCAAGAAGAACACCAGTCACATCCCTATCATCACAATCAAGCAGTCTCCCCTGCTCTGCAGGCTCGAAATGGGCTTCTGACCTACAAGGAATACCCCAGAACATATGACATCTTCAGGTCACCAACCATTTGTCCCCGTGATGTCTTGAAGGTCTTCAACAAGGAAGGTGAACCCATTGGCGTCTATCGATGCGACCACTGCCGTGTCCTCTTTCTGGATTATGTCATGTTCACCATCCACATGGGATGCCATGGCTTCCGTGACCCTTTTGAATGCAATGTGTGTGGGCACAGGAGCCAGGACAAATATGAGTTCTCCTCCCACATAGTCCGTGGTGAGCACCGAATGGGGCTGAAATGAGAAGGGAATGCTTCCTTCATTTTCTGGGAGATGTCACACACATTGATGTGGCAGAATCAAGACAGTCTGAAACCAGCTTGAAAAGTACTATGTGACCTCCCTTCAAATCTTAGAATTTTATGAGAATATTGCCATCTGAATAGTTTTGAAGATTTTTCACCTTCTGAAAATTATGATTCTCACAATCTCTTGATTGAAAGCCAATAGATTTAAACTGTCTTAAAATTGCTTTGCATGTGCATTGCCATCAAATGTTAAAGGATCTGCTTTAAAAAAAAAGTATTTGAAGAAGGTGTTTAAGTAAATATTTTTTAGATGTGTAATAGAAGTGTTAGGCCCAATCCGCTTTGCATTCTGAAATCTATTCAAGTCTCCCAGACAGTGCGTAATTCCTAGAAAAAGAGACGTGTGTCACATCTCCCTTTCTATCATTAGCTGTTTGAAGATGGATAGGAAAGCTCTTTGCAAATTATTATTTTTATGTTTATTTTTATATACCAGGAGTTTTATATACAGTATTTTGCAAAATGAATGGGTAAAATAGGTTTCCACCGACTATGTTACCCTTTCCTTACATGACATCAGGGTGCTTGTCCAACAAGTCTAGTTCCTATACGGTTCCAGCCCAGTTTACCTGTCCGAACATATTCTCCCCTATGAACCATCAAGGACATTAAGATCTTCCAGAGAGGCCCTGCTCTCAGTCCCACCACCTTCACAAGTGCGTTTGGTGGGAACGAGAGACAGGGCCTTCTTTGTGGTGGCCCCTCGGCTATGGAACTCTCTCCCGAGTGAGATTAGAACTGCCCCCTCCCTCTTGTCCTTCAGGAGGCTAGTGAAATCCTGGTTATGGAACGAAGCATTCCCAGAATAATGGCTGAGACTGATTACAGACCAAAGTGAGTGACCACATATGCGGACTGAGTTGAACATGATTTTACCGTGGCGATTTGGTATATATGCATTTTATCTATATGTATTTTAAACAGAGGATGGATGGCCATCTGTCGGGGGTGCTTTGAATGCAATTTTCCTGCTTCTTGGCAGGGGGTTGGACTGGATGGCCTATGAGGTCTCTTCCAACTCTATGATTCTATTATTCTATATCTTAGGGTACTTCTACACTGATCATTTAATGCCACTTGGAGTCAGTTTCACAGTGCAGCAGCTCTACAACACAATGCTGTCTTTCCAAATATGCATTAGTGGGAACTCTCTCCTTACACACAACTTGTTTCCAGCAGATATGTGACAGGTTCTCCTGTCAGCTTATTAGCAGTTATGCCACCTTTTCAGTATTGACACCCAAGCTCGGTTCTTAATATTGTTGACCTTGAAATCTTACAGGGATTAAATATTTGTTTATTTTGTTTTGGCATGTGAGAACCCCCAAACCTCCACCTTTTTCTTTTTCTCCTATGAGAATATTCTCATTTCATCTAAGGATTTTACTCATTTTAGGATTTTACTCAAAATTTAATTAGAAAATGAGCACAACATGTTTTTATCCAAAATACTTTTGATGAAGTGTTGTATTTTTGCATACAACCCACTAAATGCAATAATAGTTTTAAAAACAGAAGAAAAAGATACCGATGTTTTCTTTAGATCTCCCCGAAGTCTAAAAAATGTACTATTGTATTGTATTGTATTGTATTGTATTGTATTGTATTGTATTGTATTGTATTGTGTTTGCACCCAGTCTTTCCCTCCAAACTGGGATTCCTGTGATCCCATGTTTACAGTTTTCATTTGGAAACCTCTTCTCCTTCTGTCGCTTGTATACATAATCAGTTTTTTTGTGTAACTCAACCATTTTTTCTGCTCAAAATATGTTTTGAACATTTTTGAGGTGTGGACAATGATGCTGTATTATATGTTTTTTCCAGAGTATATTAACTATTAACCAAAGACAACTGTGTCTTAAAGATTTACTTCTTTGACTCGTTTTTGACTTCTTTGACTCGAATGCAAATAGTGGCAACATAAGATGCTTCAAGACAACACTTGAATATATATATCTGCTTTCCTTTGTTGAATGTTTTCCCATTGCTTCCATTTCCACCACCAAAGAAAATCCCGTGAAAAGGGAAAGATGGAATGGTTGCACAGCATCCCTTGACTGATAATGTTAGGAGGGTTCCATTTGAGAGCACATATGCTTCAAGTGTGTGGACAATCTTGATGTGTTTTTGAGTTGTGGCAAGAAGCAGCACCTAGGTATCTGTGGCATCCAAAGCAGTGGCACAATGGGGAGGGTAAAGTTAGATTTGCAGAAGTTAGATTTCAAAGACAGAGAGGTGAGGCAGGAATGTACACAGTCCTTAAGTTAAGTTACTAAAGGTGTGATTTTTGTCTGTAACTAAGCCAGGTTGAAATCCTGTTATGACCTGGTTACACGGCTGCCAGAGTTACTCCACATCGTCGAGAGGAGTGGGGAACCTGGCGCCCCACACACCTCGTTGCCTGGCTCCAGTAAAGGGCAATCCCATGGGGTGAAACATGGATAACGCAGCTTCCCCCTATGGCTTCCTATGGCAACACGGGAAGCCTCCTATGTTGCCATGGTGGCAGCATGTGCTGGTTCTGCCCTACTTCACCCATGGAGCCTTGTCAGCATCATTTGATGGGAGCCGCTGGGCTCCATGGTGACCGGGGCCAAACTGGCATGTGCCACCTTTTTTTAATCCTTTGCGATGACGTCGTTACTTACAGTGTCATAAATTAGATTTATAAAATCATTGCTGCTTCTTATTTTATTTGCAATCATATCATTATTGCGACAATCACAAACAACCCTAAAACCTACCTTAAGAGCCAGTCAGCCATCCAGAGTGATTGAGATTACTAGTGATAGCAAGCAGGATGCTGTCACAAGCCCTTTCATAACAGCGAGTAAAGCTGCAAAAAAAATTTCATGTCAGGAGCCACATGAAATACTGCAAGTCGCTTCTGGTGTGAGAAAATTGGCCATCTGCAAGGATTTTGCCCAGGGGATGCCTGGATGTTTTACCATCCTGCAGGAGGTTTCTCTCATGTCCCTTCATGAGGAAAAGCTGCAATAAAGAATTGCAACAAGTCTCTATGGGATCCTCTGCATTTGTCTCTTGCAACCTCACTTGTTGGCAAAAGTGGCCTGGTCACATCATCCTGCGGAGCCTCCCTTACCAGCAGCAGTTGTATCGCTATTAAGATGGGTTTAAGGAGTCAGATAGGGAATTTTTTTTTGTCGTGTCAGGAACGACTTGAGAAACTGCAAGTCGCTTCTGGTGTGAGAGAATTGGCCATCTACAAGGACGTTGCCCAGGGGACGCCCGGATGATTTGATGTTTTTATCATCCTTGTGGGAGGCTTCTCTCATGTCCCCGCATGAAGAGCTGGAGCTGTTAGAGGGAGCTCATCCGCCTCTCCCCGGATTTGAACCTGCAGCCTGTCGGTCTTCAGTCCTGCCGGCACAGGGGTTTAACCCAATGCGCCACCAGGGGCTCCTAGATAGGGAATTAAATCATAGCGACATTATAGGTATATGTTTAATCTGGGTTCTTGGCTAAAAACTGCATTGCAGCAGATCTGTTTTGATCTATCAACTTGTAGTTTTCGCCTGGTAAACTCAGTTGTACAATATGCTTGGTCTAAATCATTATTCAAAACCAGAGAGTGAATCAGATTGGTGTGTAAATGAGGGCACAGATAACGGCAAAACTTGGGAAAAAAGTTATTGTAGGGAGCTATAATTTTCAGGAATCCCAGTCAGTTTGGTCACTGGTCTTGCTGACTGAGAAGAGTTCAAGGAATTGTAATCCCCCAAAGTAACTTTTCCTATCTCTGGATAAATATTTGTAAGACAGCCACTGAAAATTGTTATTTGAGAGTGTCTCTTTGAGACAAATGCAACAGCTTGTTTCTGCTTTGGAAATAGCCTTCTGAACTTGTTCCTTTTTGTCTTTTTGAATGGAAGAAATAAGCAAAATGCAAGTTTGCTGATATGTTTTTTTATAAATGTGTCTTTTCTACAATGTACAGTGATGAATTTATTTTTAATACAGCATACTTTTTAAATAATTAAGACTCTGTGTGTTTCATTTTATTTATTTGTTAACCATCTAGATTTTTAAAAGGGTTATGCAATTATTTTATTATTTATTTATTTCAAACATTTGTACCCCGTCCTTCTCAACCCCCGAGGGGGGGACTCAGGGCGGCACAACTGGTGGTGTCATAAAGCTCCACTATGTGGGTTGAAGGTATCTGTCCTTCCGCACTTTCCAGACTCGCTTTGAGTAACAGCCATTTCCTACAACATAGCTATTGCCTGCCAGAGAAGGGGGTGGGTTACAGAGGAGCATCAAACAACTTCACCAGAGAGATAATAGTCATGATGATAATAGACAGCTGTGACAGGTGAAGGGGGGCAAGTACCTTCATCCTACTTGACAAGGCTTCATTCTCTTCCAAGATCTGTTGATAATTACAGCTAAAGGAGTGCTGTCCTGGATGTATCCTGACAACCCTACTCTAAGTTTCAGAGTAAAACCCAGAAGTAGTTAACACAGAAGCCAATAACCTCCACTGGTAATAGGCATGCTACTGCATAGCCTAGGAGCCCCTGTTGGCGCAATGGGTTAAACCCTTGTGCCGGCAGGACTGAAGACAGACAAGTCGGAGGTTTGAATCCGGGGAGAGCACAGATGAGCTCTCTCTGTTAGCTCCAGCTTTCCATGCAGGGACATGAGAGAAGCCTCCCACAAGGATAGTAAAACATCAAAAACACCCAGGCATCCCCTGGGCAACAGCCTTGCAGACGGCCAATTCTCTGACACCAGAAGCGACTTGCAGTTTCTCAAGTCGCTCCTGTCACACACACAAAACTGCATAGCCTCTGACATTTGAGGGATGTAAACTGGGACAAGTTGGTCACGTAACATTAAAGTGTGGCCAGTATGACAAATATTATCAATTAGAGCAGTGGTTCTCAACCTTCCTAATGCCATGACCCCTTAATATGCTTCCTCATGTTATGGTTACCCCCAACCATAAAATTAGTTTCATTGCTACTTCATAACTCTCATTTTGCTGCTGTTATGAATAGTAAAGTAAATATCTGATATGCAGGACGTATTTTCATACACTGGACCAAATTTGGCACAAAGACCCAATACACCCAA